TCTCGCCCTCGCCGCTCCGCCTCCGCATGCTGCCGACGCTCCCGCCGCCGAACACGCTGGTGCGTCAGTTCGTCGCGCGCTCGCGGCCCCGCTTGGTGAGCTCATTGCCGTCGACGTGGCGCTAGGCGAGCTCAGCGTCGCCCGGGGCACCTGCCGTCGGTTCGAGGCACTCCACGCGAGCCGCATGCAGGCAGTCGCGGTCGCGCTGGCAGCCTCGCTCACCGCCGCACTGCAGGCTGAGCTCGAGGCCGCCGGGTTCGTGGCGTTTGAGGCCATCACGGCCGCGGACTTGCGTGGCGAGCCTGGATCGAGCCTCGCCCAAGTCGACGCGCTCCTTGCCGAGGCCGTCGCGCTGCAGGACTTGGTGTCCGGCGTTCCGCCACTTGCCGCCGCGCTCGGCCTCGGGCCGGATGCGCCGCGCGGCGAGCTTGCCGTCCGCTGGCTCGCGCACCCGCTCAAGATTCGGTTCCACCGCCACTTTCTGGCGCCTGGCTCGGCCACAAACCGGCCGGACAAGCCCGAGTGGATGTACGCCCATGTGGCCAAGTGGCTCCGCAAGCACGCGCTCGTTGCCGTCTTTCGCGTCGGCGCCGTGCTTGCGCCCGACGCGCCCGACGGCGTCGCCGCCTTGCAGGCTACTTTTGCTTCGGTCGTCCTCGAGTGGGTCGCCTTCAAGGTCAACGCCGAGCTCGAGGCCTCGTGGGCCTCGCCAGGCTTCCTCCTTGCCCACGCCATCTCCGAGACGCTGGCGTTTGACGAGAGCCTCGACGCGCTGCTCCACACTCCCGCCGCCGCAGACATCCACATCCTCCCATGCTTCTACGCCCACGAGCGCCGGGTCGAGGCGTGGCTGGCGCTCGAGCGCGACGCTGCCCACGCCGAGCTTGACGCGCTCCTGGCTGGAAGCGACGTGGCGCAGGCGCGGGGCGTTATCGGCCTCACCAGCGCCCTCCTCGACCGGCTGTACGGCGTCCCGGGCTGCCGTGCCTTTCAGCGCGGCATGGTGGAGCTTGTTGCCCACATCGCCTCCCGCTACCTCCGCGTCCTTGTTGCCGAGCTCCGTGGCATGATTGGCTCATCGTCACTGGCGCCGGCGCAGTGGTCGCGGGCGGCGACGGTGCTCAACTCGATGAAGACCGTCCGCGACGCGCTTGCTGCCGAGGATGACGCTCTCCGCGCGCTGAGCCTGGCCGCGGCACTCGCCGACGGCGCGGCCGCCGACTCGCTCTTTGGCTCTATTGTCGACGCCTACGCACTCGCCGCCGACTCACAGATCGATTCCCTTGCTGAGAACGTCGAACACACGTTTCACGTCTACACCTCCGGCTACCGCCACGCCGCTGCCGATGAGGCCTCGCTGCGGCTTGCGCCGGGCCTCTCGGCGCTCCGCGGCGTGCTCGGCCTTGTCGAGCCAGTCCTCGCCTCGCCACTCTTCGAGACCTTTTGCGCCACTGTCGGCGTCCGTCTCGCCCGCTACCTCCTCAAGCATGTTGTGCGCAAGCCGAAGAAGCGCTATACCGCCGCCACCGGCGCAACCCTCGCCGCCGACATGCGATCGGTTGTCCTCCTCGTCCGTCGCGAGTTCCCCGAGTCACGTCGCGTCGGCGTCGTCTTTGCCCCGCTTCTGCAGACCGTCGATCTCCTTGCCCTCCCGCCCGCCGACCTCGCCGAGCTCCGCCAACAGGCCGAAGCCGTCCGCCTCCTCGGCCTCCCCGCCAAAGCCCGGGCCTTTCTCGAGGTCAACGCCGCCGACGCCATCGGCAGCATCGACGATCTCTTCCGTCTCCTCGAACTCCGTGGCGACGTGTAGCTCCCCCCCCCCCCCCTCTCTCTCTCTC